GGGGGGGGGGGGGGGCGGGGGCGAGGGGGGTGAACCATGGATAAATAATCGGACGAGAGTCAAGTCATGCTGCTGGTCATGACGGGTTGCTCGATTGGGTACTTCTCCTTCTCCATTATCTTTTTTAACTCTCCCTTTTTTTTTTACTTCCTCCTCTTCTTGCATCACTGATATTTCAAAAGTACACGGACCAATTGAATTTGCATTTTGCATACAAAAAATCGGACTATTTTTCTCTGCCAGCCTTGTTCTCTTCACTCTTCAACCCCGAACCTCAATATTGATGGAAGGATTTTTGAGCAGAATGTGGGACTTTTTTAAATTTTGCGACAAGGTAATTGAGTGATTATTGCCAATTTTGATTACCATATAAATCGTCTAGATAAAAATGTATATTAAAAAAAAAAAAGTTAAAAAATTTCCAAAACGTATTCTCGAACGACTAGCCAATTACAATTAAATTATAAGGAGTTACGCATAAGCTTTATCAGGTTGCCCAAGCACGATAAACTCACCCCGCGGAAACACATCCCAATCTGCGTGTGTTACGTGTAATTAAAATGAACTGCGAACGACCCTTCGCTCCCTGAACATGTTCCGCCATGTTACCAAGTAACGTGCGAATTCTACGCATTTACATAGATACAACGTTTCGCCAGGTTTCTGGGTAGGATACATGCACCCCAGTTTTTATTCTCCCTCGGCATCCAACCCAACCTTCCACCTTTTGCATTAAATTTTTTTTCATTCCTTTATTTTTATTCCACGTTCCCTGCTCGTTTAACAAAATACAGCGTAATGCTGTTTCAGTACAAAAGAACAGTAGGTAATTTTTATTATCTATCTTTTATTCATATTCCACGCGCAACTCCATGTTTTGCTGTTTCACTCTGGTTTTTCCAAAAATTTTTTTCTTTCTCGATTGTTTACCGTCTCGCATCGGCTTTCAAAAATTTTCCGCGCATTTTCCTTCGACTGCTATTTCACCAGTGCAACCTCATTGACTCCTCACCGTGTTACGTGACGTCACTGCGAAGTTCTCGTATTTCGCGTAGGTAGAAAAGTTTCGAGGAAAAATTATTCACCGACCCATTTTTCCCCACGGTTTTTCATACGGCCATAAAAGTTTTTGGTATCCGCGAAATCGCATGTATAAAGTCCCTTTTTCGCGCAGCACGATATGTCGCTAAACGCAGGCTTTACAAGGGGCTTTCGAACTTTTAGCAAGAAGCTCAACTAGTTTCGGAGCTTCCGCAAGGTTCGGCGCTAGTTTCGCCACTGGGTGGATCCTCTGCCACGGGAGGAAGCGCGTGCATTATTTATGGGGATTATCGTTGATTCCATGTAAAATCTCGTATCCGTACTACATGGAAGAGCAACCGTCTGCGTTCCTGATGTTCCTCGTCGTAATCTTTGAACGAGAATCGAATCGAGGAATGATTTAAGCCCGAAGCTCTTTCATCTCTTTGTGCCCATATGACCTAATAACTATTCACCTCGTATTCCTTAGAGTATGAATTACGACTTACGTACGTTCATATTGTATATGAACGTACATATACGTATACATAGATATGAAGCTACAGTAACATAGGAAGCTTAGCGATTTTTTTTCGTATACTATTCAACGGGGCCGCGTAGCATTTTAAACAGTTACGTTAGGTTACACGAAAACTTATCTATCCTTTGAATTTCCCTTTACCCTGGCAACCCTGGGCTGTGTTATAAATCCTCTTTGCCCGTTTGCGAATGTATTTCTGTACAAGCTGGCATAACTATGGTGCCCACCACTATTATTTCCTATTTCATGGCGAAGCTAACGTCGCGTATCGCTAAGTGGAGCTTTTCGTGTAGAGCTCTGGTATCTCGAAGCAGCTTGCACATTTCGACGCTAATGTCCTGAGTCCTTCACCGTAGCGTCTTGTAGTTTCGTCTTTATCCGACTCCGTCAGAGAGGAGTCGCGGAAAGGCAGATCCTTGGGAAATCTGAATTTTCCTGGAACAGAAAATATTTTTGGAGTACTTTTACGTCTTCGTTATACGACCCAGTTTTCTTCTTGTTTTCCCGTTTCCTTGACTCGTTTCTTTTTTGATTTTATTTTTTTTTCAATTTTCTGATTTTTCATCTCTCTCGTCATCTTTATTGTCCAGTTTGAGCGCAGATTTTTCATTCCCTCTGCGGGTAAAGAAGGACGCTTCGAAATTTGAATTCCACGCACGTTAAATAGGACTTCCTCGTCCTTAACTCTCCTTCCGTTGCTTTTACCTCCTCCCGACGTTTCTCATCTCGCACTGTTTTTATTTTAATTAACTTACATCACTTCGGAGATACGCTGCAGTTATTAATTAAATACGAGTCAGGATGCAGTAGTTCTTGACACTGCGTCCCTATCCCCCAGCGCAGCATCTCTAGGAGGTAGAGGTAGTCGTATCGTGTATCTCGTTCTTTTGCATGTTGAAGAAGTACCAACCCCTTTGCTGAGCTCTATCCAATCTACCCTCAGTA